GTCATGTTACTTTTGCTCTACATGTTGTTATTACATGGCTTGATTAAGGTTCACATCAGGCTGACATCTGGGGCCAGAGCTGAAACTGTTCTGGGTCAGCACAGGGCCAGCAGCTGGCCTTGTGCTGACCCATGTGTGGGCCACTAAAAGGCCGTCATTCAGTGCGGTATGTGGGCCATGTGTAAGCACAGTGTGTGGGCTGGATCCGGGCCCACACAGCAGCCAGCTACCAACACCTACACCCTCCTGATAGAATACCTCTGGTTCTAACACATCATTTATATACTGTAAGTGCTGGCAGAATACTTGGGTCAAATGGATGGCTGCTCAAATTTCCCTTCCAGGCCTTAGTCCAGATTAAAAAGTCACTTTGGTTCTTAGAGCACTGCACAGATATCATCCAATCATGGCTGCTTTATTTAGCTACTAGCCGAGCAGCTTAGGCAGCAAGGCTTTAAATAATCGAGTGAGGCTGTACAGATTAAATACCTGAGAGGTAAACGCACTGTCACCTTGTGGTCTAGCACATCGGACAGGACAAAGTATGAAGGTTCAATAAACAGGAGCATTTAGCTTCAGAAATAACAGGTAGGCTTTAGTGAAAGAACCAAAACTATGAGAATTATTTGTTCTTTTTCTACTTAAAACTTTGGTGACGTTTGTGGTATTTCAAATCAATTTGAAACATTTATTTAATGCCATTTACAGAATTATATGTTTTTATTCACTTGGTTGTTTTTATACATAGCACCAGTTCACAGTAACTGTCAGCTCAAGGTGCACTGTAAGGTGAAGACGACGAGCTCAGACCGACCACACAAAAACAACCCAATGAACAGGACAAAAGATAAACTATGGGCAAGAGTGGAAAGGTCAATGACATGCAGTTACCTTAGTATAATGTATGTAACCTCCCCCATCATCTCCTCAACGAATGGGAAAATCAGAACCAAACTTTGCATGGACATTATAACACATACAGTGATTATTAACATATGTTTGCAAAATATATAAATCTCAATCTTTACTCTGGAATTTTTGGATCAACAGAAGGCTTTCAGGAAGATTTTGGGGAATGCTGATCCAGTCCAGAAGTAAGAAAAGAAATAAATGCATGAATGCAGGTATTCAAAAAATATATGTCAGAAGTCATCCACGTTCTGTTCATGTTTTCATAGCATGCACCTGACAAGTTCCCATCGTGCCCAACACAAACGGGAAGTAGAGCTGGTCCAAATTTTGTTTGTGTCAACTTCCACAAAGGCCTCAAAATGATAGCAGTTGCTGTGTTAAAGCCTCTGAAAAAACCAGTCCATCACTTGGATTAGTCAGCATGTAAATGGAAGCATCTTTATCATGGATATCACTCATATGCATTACTGCAATTTCCAAGCGAACATGCCAATTTCTATACATGCCCATGTTACCAGGGCACGGCAGATGTCAGGTCATCTGGATTTTGCTAAGAAGGCTGCCAGAATCTTGGATTTGGTCTCAAACTCCCGTCCCTGCAGCAACAGATGTGTTTTCCCCTCATACTTCATTGAAACAGGCAGCTGAGAAGAGGAACGCTCACCTGCAGTGAACCTTCTACCTTCCTCCTTGTTCACCTCATCTTACCATTAATTGCCTTTTCCTCACATTTCCACTACCGTCTGGGATCATATTAAATTAGTCTGAACAGGAAATAGAAAATAAACAGAACATGCTCATGTATAGAGTTGAAAATACGGATTTCAATGGAAGGTTCTAGATCTCACCCTGGGTCAACACACCTTAATCACACGATTGGTTCATTACCAGGCCTCTGGAGAACTTCAAGACATGTTGAGGAGGTCATTTAGCCATTTGAATCTGCTGTGTTGGATCAAGGACACATCTAAAACCTGCAGGACCCTCGAGGCCTGGAGTTGGACACCCTATTTTAGGGTCTTCCAACATGAAGCACCTTGAACCACATGTTGTTGTGATTTGGCGCTATATAAACAAAATGAATTTTAAATTTAAAAACAAACAGCGTTTGCAGCAGTTGCAGCCTGGTCAGACCTCAGACATTCTAGCTGTCAATTTTTCAAGGTAATCTGATGAGACTTTAGCCCATGTTTCCTGGAGCATCTCTAAAGATGGACTGGCTCAATGGAGACTTTGTACCATACAGTCAAGCTGTTACCACAACAGCTCTGTAGGGTTCAGACCACGCTGGCCGATCCGTTACAGTGGGACTGATTATTCTTTCTTTTTGTTTACAGGCCCTTTGGGCCATAAGCATGCCGTGCTCCTTTTTGGCTTCCTTGTTAGTGCAATGGCTTTCAGCTGTGCAACAGAATTGCAAAAGGGGTTTCTACTAATCAATTAGCCTTATAAAATTATTCATTTGGATAAGCAGCCACACCAGGAAATTGATCCACAGGACTGACAGTTGTTGATAATGGGGCTCTCTGCACAAAGGTAGATCATTCTGTAAAAATAAATTAATTTTAATTGTTTGTGAAATGTATCAAATTGTTTGTGAATTGCATGAGAATGTGTTTTTCTTTGTAAAACAAAGATATTTGCAAGTGATCCCAAACTTTTGAGGGGTAGTGTAAGTGACTGGACAGAATGAGTGTCATTAGGAATGAGATGACAGTAAGAGACTCTCTTATTATTAGCCTCTCTGGGCAACATATCAGAGGGAAGGCATCAGCAGGCATCATACAACATAGTCTTGACTGGTTTTTATATAGTGCTGTACTCTACTCTACTCTACTCTAAGCACTCTGAGAGGCCAGGGTTTGATCCACCAACCTTCTGATTGGTTGATGACATGCTCTACCTCCTGCATCATGTACCATGCTAGAATGTTTGAGTTTAATTTAGTTCAGTTTTATTTCTAGTGTGTGTGTGTGTGTGTGTCTGTGTATGTCTGTCTGTGTGTGTGTGTCTGTGTGTCTGTGTCTGTGCGTGTCTGTGCGTGTGTGTGTGTCTGTGTGTGTCTGTGTGTGTGTGTGTCTGTGTGTGTCTGTGTCTGTGTGTGTCTGTGTGTGCGTGTGTGTGTGGGTCAGTCGGAGGAGGTGGATATCGTTGGACTGGACGGGCGCATTTACAAAGGGCGCCTGAACGTCCCGGCCTGCAGGACCTCAGAAACTAAACTGCCAACGATCCCCACCAGAGACGGTAAAATCTGAATCCATCACACGTCACTAACGCTGCGTCAC